AAATATGTAAGGAATTGTATTCACATTTCTGAAAGTTTGAAAAAATAATATAATTGGTCTTCTATTTTTAATATGAATATACTTTTTTTTAAGTTTTAATTTACATAATATCTACTCACCATCTATATTAATTTCAATCAATTTGATCTTATTAAAAAAATATTAATAAAATTATATCAAAAGTATAAGACCGACTAGAATAATAAGTGTAATTTACCCAAATATATAGATATTCTATTGTCTTTTATTTTTTATCATACTAAATAACCCTCGAAATATAGTGACCCTTGAAATGAAATCAGAGTAAGAGAAATAATTTGAGCAAAAGCTAATGAATAATTAAACAAATCACTTGAGAGCAAAAAGTACAATCACAAAAGACAGCTTAAACTTCATTACTATTAGCTAAAAACAAATATGGTTACAAGGATCATGAAATCACAAATTCCCACAGAAACAAACATACATTGGGATCCCCCCAAAAAATTCAATTCAAAGAGAACTTAAATTTCTTCACTATAAAAATATACATTGTACCAAATAAGGGTTGGGACTTTGCTTTATCCATTTGTAAGTAAATTTGGGAGCTCAACAACTTCTCTTTGGTCCCGTTTGTTTTCAGAAATAGAATGGAGAAGATTGATACCGTTTGTTTTCAGAAATAGAATGGAGAAGATTGATAATGAATGGATTAAGTAAAATTGTGTTTATTTTGATGATAGTTGTTAGTGTGGAAATGGTTAAATTATTTTTATATAAAATAAATATAAAATAATAAAACAAATAAAAAAAAACAAAAACATTAAATATTAATGTTTTAAAAAAAATGCCTAACATGTAAAAAAATTTAAAAAAATAAAAATAAAAAAAAATCAAAAAAAATAAAATAAATAAAATAAATAAAATAATGATTTTTACTTAACAAAAAATACAAAAAAATTAAACATTAATGTTCCAAAAAAAATGCCCGACATGTAAAAAATAAAATAAAAAATAAATAAAAATAAAAAATTTCTAGTCCGCCGGACTATTTTTCTAATACCAAGTCCTACAGGCCTATCCTAATCCCCTCCCCAAGGGGATTCGTAGTTCAGAGGGGATTACGAATCCCCTCTCAATCTCTCGAAACAAACATGATATTAGTGAGTTCTACCTCACCATGAATCCTAATCCCCTCCTTATAACCCAAAACAAACGGGGCCTTAATCTTTTCTCCAACTGCTCTCTTGCAAGCTAACCCCTAGCATTCCTGGATGTAAGTGGCAAAAATAAGTTAAATTACACAATTATAAGCAAACAAAGTTAGAGATGCATTAGAAGTTTGATCAAAAGTATCTTTCAATTTGTTTCAACGGAAAACATTTTTCTATACAAAATATTTTTTGAAACTTACACTACTGTGCTAGTCCATGGTGGTAGTAGTGGTGTAGTGGTGGTTTAAGTGGTAGCGGTTGGTAAGACATTCGTCCAAAAATGTTTTTAGAAGTGAAAAGCATTTATTTTTCATTGACTCTTATGTTTTGCCAAAACAAACCAAACCAAACCAAGTCTCAAGTCCCATCAAATGGAATCGGCTACATGAATCCTTCTTCTCCAAGCAACCCTATCAAAGGCCATTTCATTAGTCAAATTAAGTAGATCTATATCTTTATTTACAATGCTAGCCAATCTTAATCTAGGACTATCCTGTCCCCTAACAATTCAATCTACCGTTACAGCATCACATCTCTTCACTACTGTCTCTGTTAGTTTCCATTAAATATGACCAAATCATCTCAATCGATTTTCTCTCAACTTATCTTTTATCGGTGCTACTCCCACCCACTCCCGAATACACTCATTCATAATTCTGTCTTGTCTAGTCTTGCCACACATCCACCTTAGCATCCTCATTTCAACAACACTCATCTTATCTACATGTTTTTTGGTTGCCCAACACTCCATCTCATACAACATCGTTGATCTAATAACTGTTCTATAGAACTTACCTTTTAGTTTAGTGGGTATTCGTTTATCGCACAGTACCCCAGACGCCTTCTCCACTTACACCATCCCGCCTTAATCCTATGGGTCATATCTGCATCAACCTCCCCCGCTATTGTGATAATCGACCCTAAATAACGAAAATATTCACTCTTAGGCAATTCTTGGTTCTCAATCTTCACTTCTCCTGTGCTTTCATTGTTACTGTTACTAAATTTATACTCCATATACTCTGTCTTAGTTCTGCTTATCCGAAATCCTTTAAATTCAAGAGATTTTTTTCCGAAACAAATAGAGAAATATTCATAAATAAGTTTAATTATACAATTATAAGGAAACAAAGATAGACATGCATATAATTTATGTGTTAGCAAAAAATACTTTTTTACATAACCTAAAACCATTTTTTTTTTATGTTTAGTTGCAACTTTGAAACTAATATGCTAGTGGTGGGGCAATGGTGTAGGGGGTTGTGTGTGGTGGCATGAGTAACACTTCAATCTGAAAAACGGTTTTTATGTTTCAAAAGTGAAAAACATTTTCCAACCAAATAAGTTTATTTTCCACTAACCATGAAAAATGTTTTCCACTTACTGTCATTTTTCATTGTACAAAAAACACAACATTTTTTTACTAAAACAAACAAAAACAATATTCAGAATTTCTGTTGCCAACATCTTACCTCTTTTCATTGCCTGTCTTCCTTGTGAGATCCTCAACAAGATTGTGTAACCTCTTCAAGAGAGCTGGCGAGTTGCGGGCAGCTTCAACACCTTTCGTATTCAAACATATCTTCCTCAAAAGCTCAGAAGCAATGAAATAACCCTCCTCTTTGTTTCTGAAAAAAAAGTACAAAACACAACAAATGAAAATCAAAAACACAAAAAAAGCTTATACACTCTCAGTTACTTCTCTGACAAACCTTAGCACCTTCCAAAGAATCGTTTCTACAGATCCACGACTACGAATCAGCACTTCAGTCAAATGTGAATATCAAGCAAGGTTTCTTAGAGTAGACAGTGCATGTTTTAGAACCTCTTGATCGGGTATACTTCGATTGACTGAGCGAATTAGCTTCAGTAACATGTCAACTGCCTCGGCTTCCACAAGTTTTTCACAACATTTTGTTGAAAGTTTTGTGGCCATATCTGTAGAACAAGTTCAACATCATTGCTTCAACATTTCGCAAATTAAAATGTTTTTAAATACATGACAAATGACCTTCCTGTAATTGTTCTAATCACAGTGAATTTTGTTTTAGAAGTCATCATGAACATGATTATCATACATCTTCAGAATTGTTTCGTTAAGTTACAATCCCAATAATGGTAGACATTGTAATTGTTAAGAGATCCATAATATGAGCTTTTTAGGGAATCCGAGAAGTGTTAATGAAGTATCATTAGAATAACAAAATCATGAAATATCATTTTCTTTTTTAAAGTAGAACACATTAAAGAAGTATTTGACACGATTCTATGAGTGTCCAATAAGTGTCTAATACAAACATGACTCCTCCTTAGAAGTGTTTGTGATACTTAAGCGTTGACCAACAAGGCACCATCACCATGTAAGAAAGAAAAAAAAATCAAAAATTTAAACATGACAAGCGGAAAGAGCTTACTCACAAATTAATAAAACTAATAATGAACAAGAATAAATGCATTAAAAAATTCAGAATTTTCAGAGTTTTGTAGACTTGGGTAAAAATGTAAAAATAGCCCCTACCCCCATTACCCTGATACCCAGCTTTAAGAAAAACAATAGCATCCAAGTGCTAGAGGACTTCAACGTGCGATAATTAAAATGACATAACATTTTACCAAGAACTCAAAAGGAAATAATGAATGGTTCTAGTAGAGAGAGGAAGTGTAACTTAGCATATCTCAAGAATATAAAGATGGACAAAATGAAATTTTGAGGATAAATCATGAGGGAATTAAATTGTAAGTCCTATTATCTAAGAAAATGCAATATCAGCTCATTATTAAAAATATCGTAACTACTCAAAATCTCCTCCAGCTAACATCAAATTTTCTAGTTTGTACATCCAATGAAAAACAACACACAAGGAAAACGGTTAGAACAAAAAAAAATTCCAGTAATCTTTTCCTGGTGGCACTTTCTGATCTATTGAGTACGAAAAGTATTTGACACGATTCTATGAGTGTCCAATGACTTCTATAATAATGACATAAAATGCTCACCTAAAGTTGCACAGGTATGAAGAATGCCACTGACACTTTTTATACTCAATAGATCAGAAAGTGCCACCAGGAGTCTGTTTATAATACGCATGCTATCATCCACATTTGCAGCAGACTTATGCAATCTCAAGCATAAATCAAGTAGCTGCCCTCTTGAAGCTTTCTGTGCAAGGTAACCTTTCCAGTATGACTACCACATCAAAAAGTCCAAACCAAAAATAAATAAATTAGAAAGATATAATAAAAAATTAGCACATGCATTGATGGCTCCACTTTATCAATACCATTGCAGGAGCATTTAGGAAAGAATAGGATAACAAAAGAGAGATGTGTCTTACTTGGATTACAATAATACAATGCCTTACTCTAGTAGCTTCTTGCCTGGCAATCCACCCTCGAATATGAGATTGGATAATGATTGCTGACTTTGATCTTGATTTATGCATCAAAACAACCCTCCACCATCTTTGCAACTTCAAAACGGAGCATAAAAACATACCCAATTCAAGATTCTGGAATCAATCTGTTAAAGTCACAATGCAACCTGTTGGATCTGATTTTGGGAGGAAAGAAGCCCCTGCATTAACGTGATCTCATACATGAGTACACTTACAAAGACTAAAACATAAATAAAAGAGTGTTACTAAAACAAATAGGCAGCACATGAAAGATACCAAAAAGCCTCATTCGAGCTATCTGACCCCTGACAAACTGTTGGATTTCTGTTGCAGCATGCCTATAACAATCAAACAACTTCTGGCACTGAATGCATCGAAAAGCACTTTGAATCTTTATCATAGCCTCTTTTTGGACCACAATCTCCCTTCTTATTAACCAACCACGGCAATGACTCTAGATTGATTAAACCAAACAATCACATTATTAATTTTAAGTCATGTTCAGTTAGGAAAATTACATTCATATAGATGACTAACCAAAAAAAGGTAAAGACAAACCAAAAATTCAGGAATAGAATGAACTTCTACCATCCAAAAAGAATCAAGATTAGAAATTACACATCAAATATTCCATATATGTTCATAATATAAAGATATAAAATATAATAGAACACACAGAAGAGAGGGAGGGAGAGAGAGACACACACGCACACACGCAATTTTCAAATAGCTGGAACTTTCCTCTAATCAATAACAATTTTCAGTAACATGTCCAAGTTATCTACAGAACAACTAGACTTACTTGAATTACAACGATGAGACATTTTAGTCGATAAGCAACTCTTCGAGCAATCCATCCATGTGTGTGAGATTGAATAATAATTGCTGACCTAGTTGCAATTTTGTATTGTTGAAAATCCCTCAAGCATCTCAAACATTGAAAAATACTTTGAATTTTTAATGCTGCTTGCTTCTGAAGCACAAAACTCTTTCTCCTGAACCAACCACGATACCAACTCTGAATTTTAGTTGTAGATAAGTTCTGAAGGCAGAAAGCCTTGTTCATAAGAAACTTTTTCCAAGCAAGCTGAATATTAAATGCTGCCTTGATATGCTTCTGAATCATAATAAACCTCTTTCTCATCAACCAACCACGATAGCAACTCTGAATTTTAGTTGCAGATAAACTCTAAGTCACAAAACTCTTTCTCATCAACCAACCACGATAACAACTCTGAATTTTAGTTACAGGTAAACTTTGAATCACAAAACTCTTTCTCATCAACCAACCACGATAACAACTCTAAATTTTAGTTGCAGATAAGTTCTGACGGCAGAGAGACTTGTGCACAAGAAACTTTTTCCAAGTAAGCTGAATAGTAGATGCTGCCTTTATTTGACAATCATTAACTTCAGTTTCTTCACATGCAAGAGAAACTTTCTCTAGCTGAGAAACTCTCTGAAAGTATATTAACCTTACTATCGATCCAAGAATGCACTTCTGAACAACAATGGAAGCATTAACAACATCATGAGTAGACATATCTTGAGTTAATATGCTACCACCATGATGTCTTCGAGAAATCCAAGCCCTTGTGGCATGCTCAATGAATGTTGCAGACATTTTCAACTTAACAAAATTATGCCTGTCAACCATGTAGGTGTTGAATATTGGCTACAGATTCTGGCCATGTGATGGAAAGTGGCAGCCAGCTACATGGTGGGGAAGCCATGAGGCCATGTGAGTTGGCCATGAGGCCATGAGAAGCCATGAGAAGTATCAATCTGGAAAACCACCGAAAGCACAACAATGGGCTGGCAGCCAGCTCATTTCAAAGACTCTCTCTTGGATTTGTAATCTCTATATATAGAGAAGCTAAGGAGAGTTGAGATGTACAGCTGAGATAACAGAGAGGTGTGAGCTTAGAGAGCAAAGAGAGAGAGAGAATTACAGAGAGTGTTGTAATTCTTACCATTTTGTTCAATATAGTGAATCCGCTGCCCGTGGACGTAGGCGACTTGCCGAACCACGTTAAATCTTGTGTGTTATTGCTTGTTTGAGTTCCCTGGTGTGCCCCCGATCCGCAACAGTAGGTGATATATCTGCCCAAAATGCCTGATTGCTTCTGCTTTTCTGTGTGATTAACCAAAAAGATCAGACAAGACAGAATATGCCAAAAGGCGTGTGAATAAATTTCTGAAGAATAGTCAATACAAAATGACAACTCCTGAACTCTGATGGTACATAATTTATTGATTGCTGATTTCTTCTTGACAGCCAGCCAAGCCCGAATCACAATTTGCAAGAAAGTAACCGCATTCTTAATGCGCAAATAGTTGTTGCGTGCCAGTGATTGTCTAAAGCGAGACTGAATAATTTTTGCGGCATTTTCTAGACTCACCACATAAGGAGCAAGCCATCAGGAAAAGACATGTTTCTAAGCAAAAAGTGATAGAACATGAATATGCATTTAAAAGAAGGGCAAATTACATTAACACCTCCTAAGGTTTTTTCCCATTACATTAGTACCCCTAACCTTCTGGAAATTACATTCCCCTCCTTGGGGTTAATTGTCGCATTACATGTTGCCCCCTCCATTAGTCTAGACACTAGCATTGGTTGACTTAACAGTTTAGGATGATGTCAGAAATAAATTATTCAAAATGTCAATATATATAAAAAGTAAAAAAAATGTGAAAAAATATTTATGTGTATAAATTATTCAAGATGTGTATAAAAAGTAAAAAAATTGTGAAAAAATATTTTTAAAAATAATAAATATATAAAAACACGAAAAATATACTGAATTCTCGTTTTTTTTTATTTTTTATTTTTGGTATTTAGTGAATTTTTAAAAGATTTTTTCACAAAAATTATACTTTTATGTGTATTTATGTTAGGTGTGTCTAAAAATAAAAATAAAAAAATTTCTTAAAATATTAAAAAATCAGTAAAAACAAAAAAATATGGAAAACAAAAAAGTAAAATTTTTTGAAAAGTATTTTTGGAAAACCAAAAATAAGCAAAGTGAATAATCCCACAATTCTCAACCACAAAGACTGGTTAAGCCCCAATGAGATTCTCAAGCTTTTCCAAACTCTCAAAAACCCCAATTCAACACTCTCTCTCTTAACCCAACTCTCAAATTGCAAAGACTATCGACCAAATGAAACTCTCTACACTATGATCGTCAACAACCTCGCTCTAGCCAAGAACTTCGATGGGATTGAAGATATTATGGAAAGAATCAAACTTGAAAGAAGAAGTTACAGACTCTTTGAAGATTTTTTCTACGATGTTACTATGGCAATGTGGCGTCAAGCCATAGAGACCCTTTTTGATATGTCCAATTATAATTGTTGGCCAACAATGTAATAACAAAATGATAAAATGGAAAGATTTCTTACCTTAAACAAGGGTTTTCAATGGCTTTTAGTGAAAGTTCAATGGAGGTATTCAAAGTCTTCAATTGAGGTGTGGAAAGTTCAAAGACCAATTTTTTTTTTTTTGCCCTGTTTGAACGAAATTCAATTTTTATTTTATTTTTTTTGAATTAGAACGAAAGTCAGTTTGGTCTTCACTTTTGTGAATGGAACTACAAATGTGAACTAGGGTCAATAAAAGTGTGTGGATTTGCGAGTAAAGTGTGTATACCATGTAAATGATGTAATTGTAATTTTAAGGGTTTAGATTGAGAATTTTAGTTAATAATCAAATTAATAGGTGTGTAGGTGTGTACATTGAGAAAAGATTTGCCTTTAATTAATTAGGTGTGTGGAAATAGAATTTCCGTGATATATAAGGCATAAAGTATCATTTTTATCCTCTGAACTATACAAACATACAAATAGATCGCTTAAACTATTGAAAAGTGTCGCTTTGCTCCCTAAATTATAAAAGCATGAACCCCTAAACTATTGATGTGTTTCACTTTTACCCCTTTATTAGGAGGTCTAATTAGTACGTTTAATAGTTTAAGAGGTCCATTTGTACAGTTTTATAATTTAGGAGGTTAAAATGATACTTATCAATAGTTTAAAAGGGGTTCATTTCTACGTTTTTATAATTTAGGAGGTCAAAGTGATACTTATCAATGGTTTAAAAAGGGTCTATTTGTACGCTTTTATAATTTAGGGGTCCATTTGTACGCTTTTTATAATTTAAAAGATCAAAGTGATACTTATCAATAGTTTTAAAAGAGTCTATTTGTACGTTTTTATAATTTAGGGGGATCAAAATGATACTCCTTTTTTTTTTTTATCAGCAAAAGAAAAAGAACTTTATTGATGAAACAGAAGACTATTACATCAATAAAAGAAAAAAGGAAGATGAGTGCAAAAGGCATCATAACGAACCAAACCAATTCCAACTAGGTTGGCACTAACAAGACCACCCAATCATATGCTAGCACACCATCAAGAGTTGGTGTGGAAACAACCTGAAATACCAAAACCAACCTCACCCTAGTAAAAACTAACAAAAACTACTACAAAAGTGCAACCCAAACTACCAACCATCAAGAAAACATGACAACAACAAAGGACACCAACTCCAGCAGCCAACTCCAAAAGATCACTGTCCACACAAACCATTACCAAGCCATATCAGCAAAATCAGGCCAACAATAAAGAATATCAGCACCAGCAACCAAAACTCAAAATGATCACTGTCCATACAGATCAACAGCAATCCATAGTAGCAGCAAAGAAGAAAACAGAACAACACAGCAAATACAACAACCACCTAATACACCTCTACACCAGCACCAAACCAGTTTGTTTCTAATAACAGCAAAAACAATTTGATAGCACCAGAGCAGCATACAGATTTGCATCCTCATATCATCTTCATACTCTAACAGACCTCTTATGCTAAACAACCTCTCACCTGCTTCAAGTTTGCCACAATATCATGCACTGAGTAAGGAGTTGCTAGATAAGGGCTTCATCTAGCCTTCCTTCTCAGTTGACAAACTGAACAATTTAGGGAATTCATTTCTAAGACTGATATTATTGAACCACCTATCCGTCCAAAATTGAATCCTCTCCCTTTTCCCCATGATAATCTTGAAATTTTGAAAGAAGAACTCAGCCATACCAATATTTGATGAGGCTAATGATACAATATCCTTCCACACCTTAGATACCCTGTCATCTTCCACTGGTGTTGGGATCCACCTTCCTCTAGAACCACTATATTTACTACAGATCACTTGTTTCCATAATGACTTATGCTCTTTGTCATATCTCCACCACCATTTTAACATCAGACAAACATTAACAGCATTAAGACTTCTCACTCCCAACCCCCCATTAATCTTTACTTTTACATACCTCCTTCCACTTAACTAGATGAATTTTTCTTCTAATTTCAAACCCTCCCCACAAGAAGATAGATTGAATCCTATCAATTACTCTAGTAACACCGGCAGGCATTTTTAGGATGGGTAGAAAATACACTAGTAGACTTGACAAGACAGATTAAATTAGGATCAATCTACCTGCAAAGGACAAGAACCTCATCTTCCAAGATGTTAATTTCTTCTTAACCTTCTCCACCACTAGTTGCCATGTACTTCTTCTCCCTGGGTTTGCCCCTAAAGGTAAGCCAAGATATGTAAGAGGTAATTTTTTACTGAGGCAATTGAGTTTTTTAGCAAACTCCTTGACTAACCCCTCTTTCACACCAATTCCACAAACACCTTCAGCCACTATATTAAACCACAAAGGAGAGAGTGGAGCACCTTTCCTGGGCCTCTTTTGAGGAGAAAATTCTATTGTAGGTGATCCATTTACAAGTACTAATATCCTTGATATAGAAATGCACAACTTAATCCACCCCACCCATTTTGCACCAAACCCAAAGTTTTCTGTCATTGACATTAAAAACTCCTAATTAATAGAGTCATATGCCTTCTCAAAATCCATTTTAAGGATGATTCCT